ACGCATGCGGGCGGTCCAACGGGGGGGTTCGGTGGAACTCCCTATGGGGCCATGGAGCGTTGTTCTGGGTGGGTGAAAATGCCAAATTGGGTGTGGCGGACGCATGCGGGCGGTCCCACTGGGGGCTTCGGTGGAGCTCCCTATGGGGCCACGAAGCGTTGCACTGGGTGGGTGAACATGCCAAATTGGGTGTGGGGGACGCATGCGGGCGGTCCCACTGGGGCTTCGGTGGAGTTCCCTGTGGGCCCACGAAACGCTATGCTGGATGGGTGAAACGCATGGAAGGAGGACGGAGGGGAGGAGGGGGAGGAGGAGAAGAGGAGAAGAGGAAAGGAACGCGGGGACCGTCTCTTCAAAACGAGGACCCAACGCCACAGGATGGTTGGGAAATCAATATCGTATCCTCCGCGGCGGGTAGCAGAGAAGGCTCGAGAAGCGGCGCGGTTGTGCCGCACCTGGCCGACACCACGTCGTGAACAGTCTCCTCGGCCATGGCAGGAGGGCGCGGACCATGTCCTGCGCCGGACCAGGCACAGAGCGGAATATCTCCGCCATGGCAGCTTTTAACTTCGACTCTATTTTCACAGGCATTCCATCAAGTTGCTGCTGGAATGAATCTGCACTCAAGGCACGTTTGCCGTCGCCCGTCGTACCTCCAAGGCGAACCTCATAATCATAAGCAGATCTGGACCCCTGCAAGGAGATGTCTCACCAGCAGAACTGTCGCCAGAGCTCACCGAACAAGGCGTCTTCTCCCCGAGCTTATCCCATAAACCCTAGAGGCGACCAAGGGTGCCACTCTGCGATTCCACAAGACCAGCAGAAGCAGCGAGTTGTGCGTCGCAGCTGATATGCGCCTGCCGCACAATATCAGGAACAAGCAGAGAGGGGGGCGACGATGAGACCGCGAGCATGCGAAGAGCTTTCACAGCAACGTAAGAGACTTAACTACAAGCCTCTTCCATGAGAAACGATACAAATAAAGAGCGACACCTCAATGAATGTCAATGCGAAACAAGCTAGCCCGGAAGAGCCAGACAAGAGAAACCCATCCTGCGCCACAGTGGCTACGGAGGAGGGGGAGGAGGAGGGGGAGGAGGAGGTTTGAGGGAGGAGGGAGGAGAAGAGCACGGAGAGGAGGGAGGAGGAGGAGTGGGAGACAGGGAAGGGAGGAGGGAGGAAGGAGGAGGAGGAGGAGAAGGAGGAGGAAGAGGGATGAGGGAGGAGGGAGAGGAGGAGGAGGAGGAGGAGGAGGAGAGGAGGAGGAGGGAGGAGGAGGGAGGAGGGAGGAGCAGGGAGGAGGGAGGGGAGGAGAGAAGGAGGGGAGGAGGAGGAGGAGGAGGAGGGGGAGGACGCAGGGAAGGAGCGGATGGAGGAGGAGAAGGGAGGAGGGAGGAGCAGGGAGGAGGGAGGTGCTTCTGTGCCCGCGGGCGGCCGCCCCGCTCGCCTCCGTGGGGTCTCTGGCCGCGGGGGCGCCGCGCCTGCCGGCCGCCCGCGCGCTGGGCGCGGCGGGCTGCGTCTGCCCAGGCCTGGATGCGCGGCCCGCTTCCTTTTCCTCCCTCCTCCTCCTAATCTCCTCCTCCTCCTCCTCCTTCCTCCTCCTCCTTCTCCCTCCTTTGTCCTCCCTCCTCCTCCTCCTCCCCTCTCCCTCCTCCTCCTCCTCCTCCTCCCCCCCTCATCCTCCTCCTCCTCCTCGTCGTACTCCTCCTCCTCCTCTCCTCCTCCTCCTCCTCCTCCTCCTCCTCCTCCTCCTCAGCCTTCCCCTCCTTCCTCCTCCTTTCGCCTTCTCCTCCTCCTTCTCCTCCTCCTCCTCCTCCTCCTCCTTCTCCTCGCCCCTCCTCCCCTCCTCCTCCTCCCTTCCTCTCCTTTTCTCTCCGCCTCCTCCTTCTCCTTTGCCTCTCCTCCTCCTGCCTCCTCCTCCACCTCCTCCTTCTCCTCCTCCTTCTTCTCCTCCTCCTCCTCGTCCTCCTCCTCTCTCCTCCCTCCTCCCTCCTCCCTCTCCATGTGGTGCGAGCTCTGTGACGCAAACACGATCCAAGCACACAGCAGCGCAAAGCAATGCAAAACACTGCAAAGCACTGCAAATCAAAGCACTGCAGAGCACAGGAACACAACGCAATGCAAGGACACACACTTCAACACAATGTAACGCAAAACACGACACTGCAAACCAACGCAATCAAAAGTAAGGCAGCTAAATGCAGACCAAAACAATCCGATGGGAATGCAACGGAATGCAATGCAATGTAACAAACTGCAAACCAGTTCAACGCAATGGAAATTAAGGCAGTGTAAAGACATGCCAACACAATGCGAAGCAATAGCAATGCAATGCAAAACAACACACTGCACACTGCACACCACTGCACAGCAATCAAAAACAATGCAAACAAGGCATAACAATGCAGTACCATGCAACGCAGTGTAACGCAATGGGAAGCAATACAGAACAATGCAGCCAACTGCGATGCAACACAATACAGTGTGATTGCACGGCAAAGCAATGCACAGCAACGCAATCCAATGCACAGCAATCCAAAGCAATGCACAGCACTCCAACGGGCTGAACACGAGCCCTCCATTGGGAGAAATGGTGTGGCGACGGACGCGAACGGGGCTGGCGGGGCCGCGCGCGGGCAGAGTTCCTCAGAAGAGACGTGAGAACCCCCCAGTACGAACACGGATGGGGGAACAACTCCTTCCTGTCGCACCCCCAAACGTGTCGGTACGGGCAGCGGGGCGTTTCGCCTGAGACTTCCTCACCGTCTATGAATCTGAAGATTGGCAGCTTCAAGGACGGAGGGCGGGCCCGGTTTAACAATGCGGTTCTCGCCCCAGCGCCGAGCACACTCGTCGCATCGCAACCGTTTCGCGGATGGAGGGCGGGCCCATTTCAAGGCGTTCAGGGTTGCCAGGACGCTACAGCCAAGTCGTTCAGGGTTCAAGGCGTTCAGGGTTGCCAGGGTTGCGTTCAAGTCCCAGAGATGGTGTTTCGCACGATTGAGACTTCTCCGGCCGGCGGCTGTCTTCCAGTGGGGCAATTCCCAGAATGAGCAAGGATGGTTGGAGGGACATGTGAGAAGGGACCTTGCTGAAAGGAGGCTGCATTACAACATCGAAATTTGCTTGTTCGTTTTGTACTGATCCTCATCCTCGTCCACCTTGTTTTTCCTCCTCCTCCTCCTCCTCCTCCTCCTCCTCCTCCTCCTCCCTCCTGCTCTTGCTCCTCCGCCTCCTCCTCCTCGTACTCCCTCCTTCCTCTCCTCCCTCCTCCTCCTCCTCCTCCTCCTCCTCCTCCTCTCCTCCTCCTCCGCCTCCTCCTCCTCCTCCTCTCCTCGTCGTACCCTCCTCTCGGGGCCTTCCTCCTCCTCCCTCCTCCTCCTCCTCCTCCTCCTCCTCCTCCTCCTCCTCCTCCTCCCACCCCCCCTGCTCCTCCCTTCCTCCTCCTCTCTCCTCCCTGCCCTCACCTCCCTCATCCTCACGCCTCCCCCCTCCCAAATTAGCTTCTCCTTCGGCTCCTCCTCCCCCCCCTCCTCCTCACTCCTCCTCCTCCTCCTCCTCCTCCTCCTCCTCCTCCTCCTCCTCTGCTCCTCCTCCTCCTCCTCCTCCTCCTCATCCTCGTCCTCCTCTCCTCCCTGATCTCCACACTCCTCCTCCTCCTCCTCCTCCTCCTCCTCCTCCTCCTCCTCCTCCTCCTCCTCCTCCTCCTCCTCCTCCTCCTCCTCCTCCTCCTCCTCCTCCTCCTCCTCCCTCCTCCTGCTCCTCATGCTCCTCATGCTCCTTCTCCTGCTCTCTCCTGCTCCTCCTCCTCCTCCTTCCTCCTCCTCCTCCTCCCCCCCTCCCTCGCTGCTCATCTCTGATTCTCCTCCTATCCCTCCTCCTCCTCCTCCTCCTCCTCCTCCTCCTCCTCCTCCTTCTCCTCCTCCTCCTCCCCCTCCTCCTTCTCCTGTTTTCTGTTTCGCCGCGTTAGAGTAAAGCCCTCTCGCCGCGCTGGTGCGCGGAGGGAAAGGGAACGCGCGCCCTCAGGAGTCATGGCAGGGGGGTGTGCACACTCCAGCCCAGGTGGGCGCTCAGGAGCGCACGTCTGCAATACCCGGCCCACGACACGTAGCATGTGCTCTGGAGCCCTATCCTGCCCAAACATTGCCTTCACCAGCACTCCAGCATTCGTCCGTCTCCCTTCGCCGCAGGCTACACCAGCACCAGCACACCTCACACAACGCCCTTCACCAGCACACCGCATTCGTGCGCCGCAGGCTACAAACAGAGCTCCGCAGTGCCCCCGCAAGCAGCTGGGGCGCGAGCGACGCCGACTGCCTCGGCGCCGTACGCTCGGCACCGCGGCAGCCGCAGGGGGGCACAACCTGCCCGTCGGTCGGAAGAAGGAGAAGCATATAGAACCACGAAGTAGGAAGGCGTTGGAAGTAGACTGTCTTTCCGCCCGCCCCCTGAAGAGGAGGAAAGCCGCTCGACTCTGCAAGTGGGAAGGCGGCTGACGCAGATGGGGATCTGGGCATCCCAAACTACTAGTACCTACTCGCAACGACCGGCGTGCAGTCCCATGACCCGGAGCGGCCATCTGCCTGTCATCCGGCACAGTGCCCGCGCGCGGCAGCTCACTGCCCCGCCGCTCTCCTCCGCGCCGTTCCTCCATCGTCCAGCGCCAGAGCTCTGGCATCGGAGCTGGCCGACGGTCGGGCCCAATGTTGTCGGGATCGGTCTGCCCGCGGCGGCCTTGCGCGGTCCCCGCTCGTGCTCTCCCAGCGCGGGCCGCACGACCTCCCGCCGAAACCTTCGAGGCACTTTTTTCGTCGCCGCGCGGCAGAGGCAATCCGCTCGCGCGTCCGAGCGAGACCAGGACACGGAGTCGCGACTTAACCCGCATGAAGGAGGAATGTGGCGGCCGCGGAGGGGGGAGATCGGGCGCGGGGGCGCTCACTCTCATGCAGCGGGGCTGCTGCGAGCGCGCGGGGGGGCGGCTGGGCTGAAGGGCAGCCCCTACCTCCGAGGCGCATGTTTCCGCTGCTCCGCCGAACTTGCTGCAGCCAGGGCGTCGCCAGCCAGAGTCTGCGTGTCAGTGATTTCCTTGGTTGGACCCCCCCTGGCGTGCTGACCATCATCTGCCCCGCACGCACCCACCACGGGTAGGCGGGAGACCGCATCGCCGACCCCCTCACCACCGTCACCAGTTGTGCCGCCGGAAGGCTCAGCAGCCAGGCGCGCCATAGGTAACGGTCAGCTCTGGCCTCTAGCATCAAGGTCCCAGGCCGCATCCCCTGAGCTAGCTGGACACGACACAACACCCGTCTTGGACCTGGGCCCCGCCGGCATCCCAGGATCCGGCGGCGGGCGAGGGGGGGAAGTGAGAAGGCTCGGAAGTTCACCGGCCTTCCGAGAAGTTTTCTGCGCCTTCCCCGAAGACGCAACAGACGTCTCAGAAGGCCCGATGGGCTTCTGAGAAGTCCCACCGCTTGCTGAGAAGGCCTCCTCCTTCTTACACTCCCCCCTTCCCTCGCCGCCGAACTTTCGACCTGGGCCCCGCCGGCATCCCAGGATGGCGCGCGCAAGCCGCTGGGAGTGGCCTCGATGCCCAGAGCCCCAGCGCGTACCGCGGCACAGGGCAGGGCCCTCCCCTCCACCCAGAGCGGGGAACCTGCACAGCTGCAGCACCCGGATGGGGATTCCGCCCGCCTCCGCCGCCCTGCACAGGCCCTCGAGGAGTCCTCCGCTGTTCTCTGTGATCTCAGCGACAAGCGGCTGGAAGGACAGCTCGGTGTCCACTGTGGTTCGGCGGCGGGCGAGGGGGGGAAGCGATCAGGGGCGGGCCTTCTCAGAAGGCTCGGAAGTCCCTCGGCCTTCTTAAGGAGTTGTCGAAGCCTTCCCCGAAGACACAGAACGCCTCTCAGAAGGCGCGAGGGCTTCTGAGAAGTCCCGCCGCCGTCTGCGAAGGCCTTTTCCTTCTCATTTTCCCCCTCGCTCGCCGCCGACATGATCTCGGCGACAAGCGGCTGGAAGGACAGCTCGGTGTCCACTGTGATGCCCAGGATCCTCCACGCCTGTACCACATCGAACCCCACCCCCTCCCCGTCGGACAGCCGCCCGCCTCAGATCACCCTACAAGCGGACCTGCCCGCCCCGAAATTGAAAAGGCTGCCCTTGCCCACTCCGCGCAATCGACCGGAGCTGACCTGAGCGTCTGGTCGAGGACCGCTCCTCCCACGGTGCCCACGGACGGGCATGGGGTGACCGAGTCGTCGAGGTACTAGAGTGGCCCCACTGTGTGAAACCCTGGCGCTTCTACCACTCCCGGCCTGTCTGCCAGCAACGGCAAGCCCGACAGCAAGGCGGCCATTTTAACCTGCGAGTGTTTGGCGTGCTCCTGGAACGTCTCTCGGCGGCGCGCCCAGGGGGGAAGTGATCAAGGGCGGACCTTCTTAGAAGGCTCGGAAGTTCCCTGGCCTTCTAAGAACTTCCTAAGCCGTCCCCGAAGACACACAAAAACCTCTTAGAAGGCCAGAGGCCTTCTGAGAAGCACCTCCGCCGTCTGAGAAAGCCTTCTCCTTCTCACTTCCCCCCTCGCTCGCCGCCGAGTCTCCACAACCTGCCCATCTGCCCATATGCGACGATTTGCGCCGTTCCCGCAGGGGGGTGATCGAGGTACTCCGCCGGCCACCTTGCGGGTGATCAGGAGAGCTTCGCGCGACCACGGCCTCGGTGCCGCGGGCGGTCCTCGGGGGAGCCTGCCAAGTTTTCCCGGAAGGCTCGCCGGAGGCCGCGGAACAGGGGCACCGAAAATCGGCGCCCCCGGGCTGTCCCACACCTGAGGATCAATGTTCCCGAGCGGAGACTGTAAAACTCCAGCGTCTGCTCATCCTGCTCGACGATGTCGTCCATGACCAGCCAGTCCCTGCCGCGAGCTCCAGCCGCGGTTCATTGATACCGCCCCGTGGATGGCCACGTCGAAGCCCCACCTGAGGTCCAATAGCGCCAAGTATGTGGGTAAGCCGTGGCAGCGCCGCAGCCAGCCGAGTATGACCACCGCCAATGCCATGGAGACACGGGGTCGCTTAACCCGCCAAGCTGCTCGTCCCCACAGTATCCCTGGATCGTTCCCTGATTCTGGCCGACCCACAGCGCGTCCTGCGATTGGGTCATGTCCGGGCAAATCGCGGCAGGGCGCAGACAAGCCACCGAACGGACAATGCGGTCTCTTTGTAGTGTGCCTCGGCGTGAACTTCCACAGTGACCACAGTGTACTCCAGATTTCGTAATAAAAGGGAGGGGTTCTGGACCCTCCAAGACAAGCCATTTCAGACCTCCCCCGTGGGAGAACCCTCCAAAACACCGTCCCCAGACCCCCCAGGCCCTCCAAGATAGCCTGGAAGAGACCCCCCCGAAATGAGACCCCCCTCCCTTTATTACGAAATCTGGTGTAGACTTGATGCTCATGTGCGGAAAGGTCAACTAGCCCCGCCGATACCTGACGCCCGCGAAATACTTTCGACGTCCTCTCACTTCCTCCCGTTCCCCCTCCTCCTGCTCCTCCTCGCCTCGCCCTCCTCATCCTCCTCCTCCTCCTCCTCCTGCTCCTCCTCCTCCTCTCTCGTTCCCTCCTCAAGCCCTTCCGAACCATTCCTCATCCTGCTCCTCCTCCTGCTCTTCCTCCTGCCCCTCCTCCTCCTCCTCCTCCTCTCCTTCTCGTCCTTCTCCCCCACTCCTTATTATTTTCAGGTGTCTTATGTTCCTAAGTGTTCGTATTCGTAGTAGTATGAATGTTCTTCTTGGTATTAGCATTGCTACTCTTATTGCCACTCATAGTTTTAGTATTTGCACTCGCATTACTATTATTCGTCTTATTAGTATGATAAACATCACCTTTAATGATCTTAGTGCTGTTCGTCTGTTTGTATGAGTATGTTTTATTATGAGTGATAATCGTATTAATAGCAGTGTTGTTCTTCATGCTTATTATATTATTTTTCTCCTTCTCCTCCTCCTCCTCCTGCTCCTCCTCCTCCTGCTCATCCACCTCCTCCTCCTCCTCCTTCTCCTACTCCTCCTGCTCCTCCTGCTCCTCCCTTTTCAAGCCCTTGCTCCTCCTTCTCGTAGTCGTCCTCCTCCTCCTCCTCCTCCTCCTTCTCCTCATCTTCCTCTTCCCCATCCTTCTCTTCCCCCTCCTCCCGGTCGCCTCCCTCGTGATTGTCCTCCTCTGTCGTCGTCCGTCGTCTGTCGTGCGGCATCCGTCGTGGGCGCCGTCGTCCTCCATCGTCAACGCCGTCGTAGTGCGTCGCCGTCGTCGTCGTCCGTTGCCGTTGTCCGCCGCCTTCTTCGTTGCTTTCGCTGTCCTTGTCGTCGCCGTTCTCGCATTCGCCGTCGTCGTCGTCGTCGTCGTCGTCGTCGTCGTCGTCGTCGTCGTCGTCGTCGTGGTCGTCGTCGTCGTCGTCGTCGTCGTCGTCGTCGTCGTCGTGGTCGTCGTCGTCGTTGGCCTGGCGACGACGGCCGCGCTGGCCGGCGCCTTCGCCCTCGCCGCGCGGGGCTCCTGCTGGGGATCGCCCGAAGCTTTCCCAGCCCCTGTTGTCGCCTACTTTTTGAAAGGAGGAAGAGGAGGAGGAAGAGGAGGAGGAGGAGGAGGAGGAGGACGAGGAGAAGGAGGAGGATGAGGAGAGGGGCAGGAGGTGTTGGAGTTGCAAGGAGGGAGGAGGAGCAGGAGGAGGAGGAGGAGGAGGAGGACGACGTTTTTCCTTGGACGTTCGTTAGAGCCAAGCGCTAATCCCCTTGCGCTACTCTGCAGCGCGACGAGTGTGAACCGAACGAGGGCGCGAAAAAGCGGCACGAGGCGAGGGCCAGGGGAAAGACCGCGGCGGGGGGACAGCGACCGAAGGAGGAACCGAGGCCCGAAACCACGCAGGGACATGAAAGCAAGCAAGAAACCAGTAGGAAGCTGCCATCAGCAAGCAGGCAGCCAGGAAGCTGGCAAGAAGCCAGCAGGAGGTAGGCACTGCCATCAGCAAACTGCTGATGGAAACCAGGAAGATGCAACGAGGTCCTCGAGCGGCAGGCCTCCTCCTTGATTTTCTCATCTTCCTCCTCCTCCTCCTCCTCCTCCTCCTCCTCCTCCTCTTTCTCCTCGTCCTCCTTCGCGTCCTCGTCCTCCTCCTCCTTTTCCTCCTCCTCCTCCTCCTCCTCCTCCTCCTCCTGCTCATCCACCTCCTCCTCCTCCTCCTCCTGCTCCTCCTCCTCCTGCTCCTCCTCCTCTTCCTCCTCCACCTCCTCCTCCTCCTCCTCCTCCTCCTCCTCCTCCTCCTCCTCCTCCTCCTCTTCCTCCTCCTCCTCCTCCTCCTCCTCCTCGAGGCGGTCCTCGTCTGCCTGCTCCTCACGCTCGCTCTCCGGCGGTTCCGGTAACCTGTCGGCGCTGTAGCTCCCCGGGTCCGAGACGTACCGGCGGAGCTCCTGGCAGGCCTCGGCGACCGAGGCCCGGATGCCGAGCGCGACCACGGACTGGTCCTCCACCTGGGTGACGACACCCTCCTCAACCTCCCCATCCCCCTCCTCCTCCTAGGAGGCTTCAGTCCGTGTGTCAGTGCAGAGGTCGAGAGCGGCTCCTTCTCAAAATGGAGGCATCCCTGGAGACTTCCTCGACTCTCATTGCCACAGTTGTAAAAGGTGCGGCATCTACACGGATGGGGGAAGCGGGAGGAGGAGGAGGAGGAGGAGGAGGAGGAGGAGGAGGAGGAGGAGGAGGGAGGAGGAGGAGGGGAGGAGGCAGGAGGAGGAGGAGGAGGAGGAGGAGGAAGAGGAGGAGGAGGAGGAGGAGGGGGGAGGAGGGGGGGGGAGGAGGAGGGGAGGGGGAGAGGGGGGGGGAGGAGGAGAGGAGGAGGAGGAGGAGGAGGAGGAGGATGAGAGGAGGAGGAGGAGGAGGAGGGGAAGGTCCCATTCCGATAGGGGAATACCGCTGGACGCTTCGTTGAACTGCATGGTCGTGGTTCTTTCGCTTTCCTGGATACGCGCCAGAAGGATGCACGGCGGCACCTCTTCAACACTGATGCTCCTCTTCATCCTTCTCCTCCTCCTCCTCCTCCTGCTCCTGCTCCTCCTCCTCCTCCCTCCCCCTTCTCACTCCTTCTCCTCCTCCTCCTCCTCCTCTCCTCCTCCTCCTCCTCCCGTCCTCCTCCTCCTCCTCTCACCTCCCTCCCCCCCTGGTCATCCCCGTCCTGGTCCTCCTGAATGACCTCCTCCTCCTCCTCTTCCTCATGGTCCTCCTCCTTTTTCTCCTCTTCATCCTCTTCTCTTCCGCTTCTACGATCTCCTCCTCCTCCTCCTCCTCCTCCTCCTGATCCTCCCCCTCCTCCAAGGAGAACGGTTGTGGGATGATGGGGGTAGCAGGAGGCGGAAGGGCAAGAACGAGGAGGGGGAAGGCACGGAATATCCCTGGGTCTCGTGATTCGGTCTGCGATGGTTTGCGGACGCCGTCGTCGGATTCCCAAAGTGTTCCAGCCTCGGGATGCGCTTCAGTGAAGGGGCCCCAGGACACACAAATAAAATAATTCCCTATATTTTCCCATATTTTCTGGGTTTCTGTCTTCCCCCCCACTGCCCATATTTTCCTTTTCCCGGGAATCGACGATTACTTGTGTCTGTGTGGTTTTTCCCGTCCTGATTCAGCGGCTGCGCCTCGCCGAGGGATGCGCATCGTCCCGAGCGGCCGCCGGAGGCCCGACGAGTGACGAGGACGGGGATGGGCTCGGGGAGACGCACCGACCCCTAATAGGAGAAGGAGGAGGAGGAGGAGGAGGAGGAGGAGGAGGAGGAGGAGGAGGAGGGGGAGGGGGAGGGGGAGGGGGACGAGGAGGAGGAGGAGGAGGAGGAGGAGGAGGAGGAGGAGGAGGCTCGCCGCCGACCAGCAGACCCCTCCCCGCCCGAGGTGGAGGCGGCCATCGGCGAGGGGCTGCACGAGATCGTCAGCCGCAGCCACTCAACGCCGATAGGAGGACAGGGGCAGAGGGGGGGGAAAAAGAGGAGGCCGAGGAGGAGCAGGAGGAGGAACGAGTGAAGCTGGGGGGGGATGTGAGATGGAGCACGGGCGAGGAAGAAAAAGAGAGGGGAGCGGCGATGTGAAGGTGGGCAAGGCGAGGACAGGCTCAGGGCTTGCCGTAAGCGGCGTCCCCGCGGGGTAGCCTGAAGGAAAAGAAACGAAACTCGTTTTCGGGGGGGCGGGGCGAGCCTGCAAGGCAATCGAACGCGGAGCTCAGAGTAGCCATGACGTCGGCAAGAGAGCGCTTTTCATATCTCAGGAAAGCATACCAAAACACACACACATACACACATACACCTTCCTGCGTTTCAACTCAATATCTACACACACTCTCCGCAACATGTAGAAACTCGGTCGCGCAGTGAGCGTGACCGGGGGACACGTGACTGTAGGTATACACACACACGCAAGCACACACATCTCACACACACACACACACACACACACACACACACACACACACACACACACACGCACGCACGCACGCACGCACGCACGCACGCACGCACACACGCACACACGCACACACGCACACACGCACACACACACACACGTACGCACAAACACACGTACGCACAAACACACACACACACACACACACGCGCGCGCGCAAGGGCGTGCGTGACAAGCCGTAATGCGCCGCCGTGCCTTCTGCACGTTGAGGCGTGAAAGAATGCCACAGGTTGTATGGTAGGGTTTCTGTATTCTAATAAGAAGCGCCGCCTCCCCCAGTCGCACTCCTTGCATGCATCATCGCCCCCCGCCCCCCTTCCTCCTTCCACATGCCTCGATCCTCCATGAACAAAAAGCTATGGAGCCGCGCTCCCGAGGCCATGATCTCTTATAAAAAACGAAGGATCCGCGTCCCGAGCTTTCTTGACGGCGCATGCAGGCAACCAAGGACACCAAGATGGCTCAAGATGCTTCGAAGACGGCCCAAGATGGCCCAAAGGCGACCCAAGATGATCCCAAGACGGCCCAGGATGCCTCCGAGAGGGCCCGAAGCCTGCTCGGGCTTGGGTCAGCTCAGGACGGCCCAGGAAGTCCCCACGATGGCCCCAAGACGGCCCAGGAGGCCCCCAAAAGGGGTCCCAAGGTGGCCCAAGGGGTCCCACGATGGCGCAAGAGGCATCCCAAGATGACGGCCTCAGGACGGCCCAGGAAGCCTTCACGATGCCCACAAGACGGCCTCAAAGGCCCCCTAGAAAGTCCCAAGACGACCCGAGAGGTCTCACGATGGCGTAACGAGGCATCCAAGGCGGCCTCAAGGCGGCCCCGAGGCGGCCTCACACGGCCGCAAGGCGACCCAAGGCGGCCTCACGACGGCCCCCAGACACCCACCATACTGCCAAGAGGTCCATACGACGGCCCCTCGTCATCATCATCATCATCATCATCATCATCATCATCATCATCATCATCATCATCATCATCATCATCATCATCATCATCATCATCATCCTCATCCTCATCCTCATCCTCATCATCATCATCATCATCGTCATCATCATCAGCAGCAGCATCATTATCATCATTATCATCATCATCATCATCAATATGAGTATCATCGTCGTCATCATCATCACCACCACCATCATCATCACAACCATCAGCATCGTCATCATCATCATCATCAGCATTCGCATGGTCATCCTGATCCTGATCCTCATCATGACCATCATCATCAGCATCATCATCACCACAGTCGTCATCATCACCATTATCGTACTCATCATCATCATCATCATCATCATCATCATCATCTTCATCCGTATCCTCATCATCATCACCATCCTGATCCTGATCCTCATCCCGATCACCATCATTGTCATCGGCATCACTGTCATCATATGCATCGCCATCGTGGTCACAATCGCTCTCGTCAACGTCATCATCATCATCCTCATCATCATCACCATCATCATCATAATCATCATCACCGACCGTATCGCCACCACCAGCACCATCATCAACATCACCATCACCATTATCAGCATCGCCATCATCATCAACAACAGCAGCATCATCATCGTCGACGTCGCCGTCATCATTATCATAATCAACAACATCATCATCACCATCAACACCATCGTGAGCAGGATCATGGTCATGACCATGATCATGCTAATCATGCTAATCATCAGCATCATCATCATCATCATCATCATCAGCATCATCATCAAGATCATCACCAATCTCATCACCATCATTAACGGCATCTTCACCGTCACTATCACCATCCTTAGCACTATCAGCATCCGCATCCTCATCCTCACTCTCGTCCTCATCCTCCTCGCCATGCTGATCATCGGCATCGCCAACCTCCTCGCCATCGTCATCGTCATCGTCACCACCACCATCGTCATCATCATCATCACGATCATCGTCATCATCATCACCACCATCACCATCATCTTATCATCACCATCACCATCACCATCAGCATCATGAGCAACATCATCATTATCATCGTCGTCGCCGCCATCATCCTCATCATCAGCAAAATCAGCATCCCCGTCATCATCATTCATCATCATTGTCATCATCATCATCAGCATCATCACCACCATCATCATCATTAATATCACCATCACCATCACCGTCACCATCATCATCATCATCATCATCATCATCATCATCATCATCATCATCATCATCATCATTATCATCATCATCATCATCATCATCATCATCATCATCATCATCATCATCATCATCATCATCATCATGAGCATCAGCATAATCACAATCATCAGCATCATCATCATCACCATCACCATCATCAGCATCAGCATCAGCATCAACATCATCATCAAGATCATCCACATACACATCACGGCTCTTCCAACCCTGGAGACACGAAGCGCCACACGCGACGGCGTCCCGTGCCCCCTTGAATCGTCGCCACCCACAAATGCTGGGCTGGCACGGAGGCGGGATTCGCCGCGGGCAGCGGGATGTCGCGTGATATTTATGCGGGCTCGCCGCCCGCAGCGTGACCCTGAACGCGTAGGCGAATGACTGCAGCGTGTCAAAGCACAACGCCGCAGTCGGGACCGTCGAGTACACAACTTCCTCGCAGCACGTCTCCGCGAACTCGTCCAGCAGCTGGTCTGCCGTCGCGATGCCCTCCTGCCCCCGCCCCCTTTGTCCACCCTTCCGTGCATTACTCCTGTTCCTCTTCTGTGCTTTCCCTCCTGGGATGCTTGCCCCCTCTTCCTCTCCTCGCCCTCCTCCCCGTATGTTTTCCCTTTCCCCCTCATCTATCATGCCGTTTCTCCTCCCCTATCCCTCATCCCTGCTCCCTGCATCGTTTCTCCCTCCTCCTCATCCTCATCCTCCTTGTCTTTGCCCGCGCCCTCATCCTCGTCGTCTCCTTCTCCTCCTCATCCTTCCTCCTCCCCGATGCATCCTGTTTTTTCCTCCTCCTCCTCCTCCTCCTCCTCCTCTTACTCTCGACTCGCCCCTCTTCCCCCTCGCCCCCTCTACTCCCCCTCCTCCCCGCATGCTCTCCCCTTTTACCCCTGCCTCCCTGTAGCGCACCCTTCCTCCTCTCTCCCATGTCCCCGGGGCCCACGACTCCGATGTCGAGAGCCTGCTCACAACGTGAACCCGAAAGGTCTGGACCCCGTGCAAAACGAAGCAAGCACGAGGATCAAATCGGATGAAGATAAACCAAGAATTTCTGAGATCTGGCGGCTCTGGAGGATGTCTCGGGCGCGTGGCCTTCTCAGAGCCTTCCGGAGCGCTCTGAGAGCGTTCCGGAAGGCTCTGGAACGGATTTATTATCCTCGTCCTAGCCCCGTCCGACCTTCCCGAGGACTTGTTATTTGACGCAAAAGAACCCAGCGGAGGCCCCTGGAGGCCGAAAACGGCCCAGAATCGTCCGTCGTGATCTTCCACGACGAGAGGAGCGGGGTTATCTTCTGTCCTTACAGCATCTCATCCATCCTTTTTGTTACCTCCCAGGCAGGATGACCAAAGATCGAATCGGACAGTCGAATCGGCAATCGAAATACGACGAATCGGTAAAATCAGCAGCTAAATCGGAAGGCATCGAAATCGACGCCCGGCGGCACGAGCCGAATCGAATCTGAATCTGAATCCTCGGAACCGAATCGATTCGGATCGGGATGTCTCCTGCCTCCCGGGCTCCTGTCCTCCCCCCCCGTCCTTGGGGCCGAAGAGTCGCACTTCCTGCTTGCCCCTCTCGATGTGGATGCGGCACCCGCTCTGGCCCTGTCGGGGATGCGTTTCTGATGTGTGGTCACACGCTACCCTGGCAAAATGCAGCAGCTTTAATCGTTGATTTGTTTGCTTTCGTCGCCTTCGGGTTTCCGTCGCTTTTGGCCTCCCGGGGCCGTTTTCGGACCCCAGGACGATCAGAGAGGGACCCAGTGTGAAACACGACCCCCAGGGAAGTGCCCTGGACGATTCTTAGACACGAGCTGCAAAACTTGCATTGTTTTCCTACGGGGATGTGCATGCATACGTGCTTCCGACTGATGAAAATCCGCCGGCCCCCTTGTGGGGCCACCAGGCTGCGTGGGTCAGACTTGCTGTTGCCTGCACCAGTTCCAGCTTCCAGTTCCCAATGTGATGCTTCTACTTTCTGCTTCCCACTGTAAATTGTTGAGGTCCGCGCGAGGGGGGGGGGGAGCCCCGAATCTGCCGACGCCACGCCCTCCCGGGGGGTCTCAGAATTTTTGTGGGGTCGTGGGACACGTAAGAATACGTGAGATCCCCGCTCCAGGGTTAATGTCATAAGCGCTCGGGAATTACACGATATTCGCTTGCCCGAGGTCATGAACTTTATTAATTATGCAACATTCGCGTCCCAGACGCCACGATCCCTTATACATTACGCCAAAGTCGCGTCTCCGATGCCATACACCGTCGAAAATTACGCCCGATTCGCTTCCCCGAAGCCACAATCCATTTTACATTACGCGATAGTCGCGTCCCAGAGGCCATGATCGTCGTAAACCACACGATAGTTGCATCCTCGAAGCCACGATCCCTCGCAAATTGACCGACATTCGTGCCCACGAAGCCACGATCCTTGGTAAATTAATTACACTCGCGTCCCCGAAGCGATAATCAGTAGTAAATTATTCAATGTTTGCGTTCCCGAGGCCGCGATCGTTGTAAATGCCAATAGTTCTGTGCCCTCGAAGCCAACACCTCCCGCAAATCATGCAATATGTCTTTCCTCGAGGCAATAATCTGTTGTACAGCATGCGATATGTTCGTCCCCGAGGCGATCTGCCTTCGTAAATAAAACAATAGTCGCGTCCCCGAGGCCATAACTTTTTGCAAAGGCATATGTGAATACATGAAGTATTTGCGTGCCCGAAGACAAAATCTCTGGTACATTACGCAGTGCCTGCTTCCCCCCAGCCAGGAACTCTCGTCAATTACTCCGCATGTGCGTCCCCGAGGCCATAAACCCTTGCAAATTACATTGTGTCCGCGCCCCCGGAAACAGAATCCTATATTAAATGACGCCATATTCGCGCCCCTGAAACAATAATCCACTGTAAAATATGCAATTGTTGTGTTCCCGAGGCCACGCTCTTTGTAAATGATGCAGCATTCGCGTCCTCGACGCCACGATCCCTCGCAAATCAAATAAGCATCGCATCCCCGAGGCCACGACCCTTCGTCCATTGCGCAATATGTGCGTCCTCGAGGCCACGACTCCTTGCAAATTGCACGGGATGCGCGTTCCGAAGGCCGTGACTCCCTGTAGATTACAGCAGATTCGCGCCCCGCAGGCCACGATCCTACAAGAAAATCACGCCACGACTCGCGCCCCCGAGGCCACGCTCGCTCGCAAACTGCGCTCCGGCTCCTCGCGCATCCTCCTCCTCCTCCTCCTCCTCCTCCTCCTCTTCCTCCTCTTCCTCCTCCTCCTCCTGAACCCATCCTGGATGTGCTCATGTTGCTGCAAGTGATTGCGACGCGTCCCCATCATCAATATCATCTTCATCAGCATGTGCATCATCATCAGCGGCAGCAGCAGCAGCACCACCACCACCATCATCATCATCATCATCATCATCATCATCACCATCACCATCACCATCACCATCACCATCACCATCACCAGCACCATCACCATCACCATCACCATCACCATCACCATCACCATCATCATCATCATCATCATCATCATCATCATCATCATGATCATCATCATCATCATCATCATCATCATCATCATCATCACCATCACCTTCACCATCATCATCATCATCAGCATAATCATAAACCTAATCACCACCGCCATCATCATCAACATCATCATCATCAGCAGCAGCAGCAGCATCAGCAGCCTCACCAGCACCAGCACCAGCACCAGCACCAGCACCAGCGCCAGCGCCAGCGCCAGCGCACGCAGCAGCATTATTAGTAAGATCTCCATCACTATGACCATCGGCATCAGCATCAGCATCATCAACATCACCATCGGCGTCAGCATCATGACTTAACGTCCTCAAGGCGGCGCCAAGACATCCGAATCTATAACTCCTATGTGTCCCGCTCTGATATGAAGGGAACCGGCGGCAAGGGGAAACCCTCAAGGATATTGACTTAACATATGGGAAACGGGTCCTGAGGGAAACGGGTCCTGAACCCTGGAGCCTTCCCCCAGGACGAGATCTCCATCCTGAGTCGTTTTCGGTCCTAGTCCCGGGGCCCGTGGAGGGCCCCAAGAGCCTGAACACGGCGCACGAAACCTCAGGACCCGTTGCCCTCAGGACCCGCTTCCCTCCTGGCGACCTGAAGCCCACTTTTCCTGCCTAGAATTTAAAGAAAAACGCCATAATCATGAACTGTTGGCGCTCCGCGCGGATTTCTTGCATCCTCGCTGGACCCCCCTTCCTGGCGCGCGGAGCGCGCCAGGGGCGGCGCCAGAGGCGCCGCCAGGGGGGCCTGGCGCGGATCCACGAACTCCGCGCGGAGCGCCAACAATTATTCGTTCTGGCGTTTTTCCTTCTTCGACCTCCGCCTGCCTTCCGCCGGCATCCGCCAGCGAGCCCGCCGCCGTCCTGAGACCGCCGCCCTCCGCCGGCCCCCGCCCCAGGCGAGGCGCGGGCGCCGCAGGCGAGGCCCCTCCCTGGAGAGCGCACGGCCTCTCGCCGGCCCCTCCCGGCAGCTCCCGCAGGCAGCGCCCCGGGGTGCACTTGCGCCGGCTTGCGCCGCGCCTTCCGCCGAGGGATAGACTAGGATTAGGAGAGCTCCAAACAGTGCACCACCACCAGCCCAGGCCAGGCCCCTCCTGGGCCCTGGACTGGTGTACAGGCCCTCCTGGCCTAGGCCTGGAGGCCTAATTATGCACTGTTGGAGGCCTGGAAATTGGCACCAACACCAGCACAGGGGTTTGCCTCCACAGGGAGATGATGATCTTAGATTTCAGTGTTGGTGGTAATATTTCGGTCACCTTGGAAGCCAGAATATTACCACCATCACCGAGATCGGGATCGTCTTCCCTCGGTGGAGGCACACCGCCGATCTTGGTGTTGGTGTCAATCTCTAGGACTCCGACACTGGTCGGCCCAGGATGGACCTGGCCAGAGCTGGTGGTGGTGTATTGTTGGCGCCCCTCCGAGAGATGCCAACTCCTGGACAACATCCACCGGCAAAGGTGACATCCACCCCAGACCCCCTCGCGTTGCGAAAAAATCACGACGGTGGGTTTTTCACTATTTTCAGCCTTCGGGGGCCCTCACCGGGCCTCGGGACCGTCAAAAAACGACTCAGGATGCAAGACCGGTCCCGGGGAAAGGGGTCAGACCTCTGGGGGTCGAAGTTGCGAAAAAATCACGACGTCGGGGGTCTGGGCTGGAAGCCTGAGTACATCCACCGGTCATGGCGTTTCGCCGTGACTGCGTTTTTCCTCGTTAAGCTCACGCACCGGCAAGCGGCCGACATCCGCCAGTAAAGCCAGCATCCACCGGCAAACAGGCCAACGCGAGCGCAACGGCAAAAAGCAGCAGTGAAGAGCCTCTGGGTCCCGCCGAGGGAGAGGTGTCAACTCCTGGCTCGGGTTGGCTGTCCACCGCGGACGGCAGCTGGGGCGCTCCAGCAGCACTCGGGTTGCTCTCGGGATCCCCCCGGCCCAGCGCTTGGGCAGGGGTGCAGCGAGCTGCTCGCCCAACGGAGGAAAACCATCCACCGCTCCGACTCGACCATCCCTGCTGTCCCTAAGACGAAGCCAGGACGAGGACAAATTCGGGTGAGGATAGATCGGGGATCTCTGAGATCCCGCGCTGGAGGATGTCTGGGGCGCCGCGGCCTTCTCCGAGCGTTCCGGACCGCTCTGAGAGCGT